TACATAAATAATAGTGAGCTTATCTCTCCCCCACCCTCCCCCCCATTGTCTCATTTCTCTGGGAGATACTGAATTACAGATTGAAGAGCCCCGTGATAAGCCCAGATCAAACCAGGCCATCCTAAGGCTTGATGTGAATCCATCCCATTCTCCTGCCACCCAGTGCAGGATTCAGCCCCCTCCCCAATTCAGTAAGAGACTGTTGCAGAGGACCAAGGATGAGGGCCTCTCCTCTCCTTCTCAGACACACCAAGATGGCCACCAAAATCAAGCTGCGTGGGAAGAATGACTGAAAGGGGAAAACTAAGAGGACTTCTATTTGCACTTTCTTCGGAAGAATAGTCCGCTGGCTGGAGTCCAACCCACTGTTCTCTCCCTCCCCATCTCCTCCTTCAGCCTTTGAGGTGCCCATGTTTTGCTTTGGAATCGGGTGTTACTCACAGCTCGACACTGCCGGCAGTCCTTCGGCCACACCCACCATTTTGTGCAATGCAGTGCAACAGTGAGGCAATCCCATCCTTGCGTGATTGTGCACTTTGGCCATTAGGAAGGCTGGTGGCTGATTTAAAAAGGAAGGTTTTTAAATAGGCATCAGAAGGGGTGCTGAGCATTGGAACTTCCATGTTTAAGGGAAGTGTACCTTGACACCTACAGCTACTGCTACTAGATGACCAGCCATATTAATGGGTCCAACAAATCTCTATTTATCTAATGTTTGGGATACAGCAGGAACAGGCAGGGCCTGTTTCCATCATTCCTGATTTCTGAAAATTCTCCTAGTTAGTTCCTATGTTTTCTGTAGAATCATGGTTAGGCTGCTGCTTGGTTGATTCTCTCAACATGCTCAGTCCTAGTTTGTTGGTGTTTGCTATAATGGGATGCCCGAGTCTAAAAATGCTTTTGTATTAGAAGATGAAAAGCTGGTATTTAAAAAGGGTTGAACCTAGGATTTTGGAGTACTAGAATTGCATGGGGTTTGTCTCTTTCCAGAATAAGACCACCAAATCCAGGCTGCAATATTGCAGAAGAGGCATAGGTGGCAGCAAAGAGAGAAAGGAAGTCCTTTGCTGCCATCTAGGACCACTTGGACCATTGCATCCCAAACATCGCACCTCCATGCTTCATAGATATAGAGCAGGGGTAGGCAACCTCGGCTCTTTTATGACTCATGGACTTCAACTCCCAGAATTCCTGAGCCAGCATCGCTGGCTCAGGAATTCTGGGAGTTGAAGTCCATGAGTCATAAAAGAGCCGAGGTTGCCTACCCCTGATATAGAGTGAATTGATGCATCATCCTAATAAATCATGGTCCACTTAGTCTACTTAGACTCTCTACAACAGTCTAAGCCAGTGTGTTTCTCAATCTTGACAACTTTAAGGAATATGAACTTCAACTCCCAGAATTCCCCAGCTTACTCTATTATACAGTATGCTGGCTGGGGAATTCTGGCAGCTGAAGTCCACACTTCTTAAAATTACCAACGTTGAGAAACACTGGTCTAACCCCAAGCCAAGCAGTTCCCATTCTAATTTAATACATTGTACAAAGTCAGCCATAAAAAAAACAGCAATTCTTCCTTGTAGGCTAGCCTGCTCCAAAATGGGCGCTTTTCTGGCTATGATTCCCCGAATTCTGAGGAATTCTGGAAGCTGAAGTCTGGACGGCATCCATGATGGAGCAGACCAGCCTAGAGATTCTACATTTGGTCATTGGTCTTGGAAAAAAACACCCTTTTTCTGCTTTGGCATAAACCAGAGTTCACCAGAAGAACCAGGTTTATCTCCCGGATGATTAGTTGAATCTTCTAGGTCTGTGTTTTTCAAACTTGCCTATTTCAAGATGTATGGATTTCAAGGGCCAGCTGGGGAACTCTGGGAGTTGAAAACCACTCATCATAAAACGACCAAGTTTGAAAAATCTGGTTTTGGGCCCCCTGAGAGCTTTGCTTGACCAGCTGAAGAACGAACAGAGAATTTTGTGGAGAAGCCAAGCACAGTTCCTCCACCCACCCACCCCCAGCTCTGAGCTTTTGCATCTGACGATAGAATCTCCTATCAAGGCGCTTTGCAGAAATGTCGGTTCAGCACCCAGCCAACTTCTGCTTTTCGTTCTTGACAGAGCTTGCAGCACCCAGGTTTGGAGGTGGGGGGTTGGGGGTGCCAGACTCAGATTCTCCACCAAGGCCACATTGGAGCAAGCATTCGTTTTGCTAGTCTCAGGGCGCTGCCTTGGGGAATCCGAGATATCATGAACAAAGGCAACTCAGGGGCGTAGGCAGAGTGCTTTTTTCCTTTTCCCCCCAAAGCAAGTAAAGGCTACCAAAACACTGCTGGCTTTACAGTTAATCCTTGACTTACAAGCATTCGTTCAGCAACCATTTGAAGTTACAATGGCACTGGAAGAAAAAAAAGGCATATGAAAAGGTCCTTGTATTTATGACCCTCACAGCATCCCCATTAATAACGTGATCAAAATTCTGGTCCTGGGGAACAGGCGTGTATTTATGACGGTGGCAGCATCCAAGGGCCACGGGATCACCATTTGCAACCTTCCCAGCTGGATTCTGATCAGCAAAATCAATAGGGGAAGCCAGATCTGCTTAATGATCGTGGGAATCACTTAGCAACTGCTTAACAACCGTGGCAAAAAAAGAAAGAGATAAAATGGGACGACGCAACGCACTTAACAACTTCATTGCTTAGCCATGGAAATTCTGTTCCCAAATTCATAAGTATAGAGGACTACCCACATAGTGATCCAAATGACATAAAACAGGGGTGTCAAATTGTCGGCCCGCAGGCCGGTTGCATCACGCGGAGGCCGCACTCACCCCAGCTCGGGCAATGCAAAAAAAGTCGCGATACGTCACGACACGTCACGTCACGTGGCGAGTTTGACACCCGTGACATAAAGCATCATCTTAAAAGATAAATTTCCTTGTACCTCTCCTAAATCTTCTTTAAAAAAATAACCTTTATGTAAAAAAAAACTCAAAACCAGAGCTGCTGGCTTTCTGGTCACAAAACCTTTATCTAGATTAGCTACAAACCTCACAACTCCTTGTGTGCAATATGCAAATCTCGGTTGCATTTTCCCTTCAGTTCATTAGCTTGCAGCTCAGTGTGTAGGGCAAGTCCAGCCTGCAGGATTTCTTTAGGAATAACTGTTTTGTGCACAGGTAGAAAGTGAGTTAACTTTGCAACCAGGTTAAGCATGTTCAGTGATTGCAGCCTCCACCTTCAGCGGGGCCTCCTCCCAGTTCTGTGGTTTGAACTGAGAAAGAGTTGGGTTTATCAGCAAGGGCTGAGCCCTCCTTAAGTCTGGCGGATTATTGTAGCGTAATTTCACTACAGACCTTGCAGGTCAGAAGGATGGATGCAGAAGTGAATGGAGCTCCTGCAGGTGTACAACCATTATTTGAATGATGGAATTTAAGTTTCTTGCTATTGCCTGTTTTATTTCAAGGACTGACAGGGAAGAAACTTGCCGTGTTTCTGACAGGCCATCAGGTGCCTGACAGCTGTATATCTACCATCCCAAGGACGCTGTCATGTTCTGCTTCAGTTCTTCCCCTATCAAATACATTAACTTTGCAGACATTGGCCAATAACACAGAGCAAGTCTTTTATCAGAGCAATTGAATATATTCCTTTTTACTGCCTGTGCCTGGTAGAATTTTTCTTTCTTTTCTTTTCTTTTCTTTTCTTTTCTTTTCTTTCTTTCTTTCTTTCTTTCTTTCTTTCTTTCTTTCTTTCTTTCTTTCTTTCTTTCTTTCTTTCTTTTTCTTTTGCTTTCTCGACTCAGCTGTATAGCTGCCACCTCCCTGCTATTTCCTGTGCCAAAGTTGTGTCACTGCCCAGGAATCCCAGCAGCAGACAAGGCAGAGAGGTGAAAAAAAATCACATGGCACGGCCCTGGGAAATGTCAGCCATGTAATATAAAATAAGAAAAAAGAAAATCAAAAAGAAATAAAAGTGTAAAAGAGGGGGGGGAATAGAAACTGGGGAGATTTAGACCACAGGAAGTCTTTAACTTACGACCATTTGTTTAATGACGTTCAAAATTACAATGGTGCTGAAAAAGCTGACTTAGTCCTTCCAACCGTTGCAGCATCCCCCATTGTCATGTGATCAAATTTTGGGGGTATTTACAACAGATGCAGGGTCCACTGTCACATGATCTCCACTTGCAACCTTCCCAGGGGGCTTCCCATAAGAAAAGTCAAAGGACCTGGTAGAATTTATTTATTTATTTATTTATTTATTTATTTATTTATTTATTTATTTATTTATTTATTTTCTTTCTTTCTTTCTTTCTTTCTTTTTCTTTCTTTTTTTCTTTTTCTTTCTTTTTCTTTCTCATCTGTCTCTCTCCTCTCTGTCTCTCTCTCTTTCTTCTTTCTTTCTTTCCTTCCTTTCTTTCTCTTCCTTTCTTCCTTCTTTTTCTTTCTTTCTCTGTCTTTTCTTTTTCTTTCTCTCCCTTTCTTTCTTTCTTTCCTTCCTTCCTTCCTTCCTTTCTCTTCCTTCCTTCTCTTTTTTCTCTCTCCTTTCTTTCTCTTTCTTTCTTTCCTTCTTTCTTTCTCTCCCTTTCTTTCTTTCTCTTTTCTTTCTCTCTCCTTTCTTTCTCTCTCTCTCCCCCTTTCTTCTCTTTCTTTCTCTCTCCCTTTTTTCTCTTTCTTTCTTTTTTCTTTTTCTTTCTCTCTCTCTCTCCCTCCCTTTCTTCTTTCTCTTTCTCTCTCTCTCTCTCTCCCTTTCTTCTCTTTCTTTCTTTCTTTCTTTCTTATCTCTGTGACCTCGTTAATGACTGCAGCAAAAAGCCATAAAATCAGGTGCAAGTCCCTTAACAACTACATTGCTTAGCAACAGCATCCTGGTCCCTCATAAGTCGAGGACTATTCCATTCATTTTCTTTTCCGTATGCAGTTTCTCTCTCCTTCATCACAGTCACGCATTCCCCCCCACCCCCAGGTTTCTACATTCACACTTCTGTTTCCTTTTAGGCTGGGCCTGTTTAGTGGCAGGGAGAGCAAAGTAGGTTCTAGTTGTGATCATAAGTCAAGGACTATCTACATTTCATTCATTTGCAGAATTTTCAAGACGATCAGAGAGCCAAGGACCCATTCCAGCATTTACTGCCTTCCACTGCAAATTTTATAAATGTACCTTTTCCCCTTCTACCATCAGAATCCTACCACTCTTAAAAAAAAGGGGGGGGGAATATTCACAATCTTTGGCAATTTCTAAATAATTGACAGAAATAACATTTCTAGATAATAGTCTCCCGAGAGGGGTCTTTCATTGTCGGAATCGCTAGTTAAATTCTTTTAAAGTTGCTTTAAAGTGACTCTGGTCTTCTTTCTCCTGTCAAGAAAGTTTGTTTCTTTCTCTGCACATCTCACCCACCTGTTTGCTGCTGGATTTCTTCCCTGCTGTTTGAATGCTGTGCATTAAAATAGATGTTTTGAATTAGAGAAATCCAGGCTACCAAAACAGACACAGGTAGATTTCTTGCAAGGAGGGGACAAATAATGTAAAAGGCGCCTTTCATTTCATTCTTATAACAGCCTTGGAGGCTGGGTGTGGTCAGAAAAGTCAAGATGGCAGCCATGATGCAACCACTGAAGAGGATGGCCAAGCTCATAACTGCAATGGTGCAACTGAAGCTCTGTCTGGTTTTCTAGGTGCATTGCATAAAAAAATAAACAGAGCTTCGATCTCATCATCCCCACCCTGCTGGCTGGGGAATTCTGGGAGTTGAAGTCCGGATGATCTTAAAATTGTTAAGGTTGAGAAACACCAATGGAAATTGACAGCAGGCAACTCCTAACTCTGCTGTCTGCTCCAAGGATGTTCTTTGTTGCTATCAGCCAAGGATCTTTTTGGTCCACCCAGTCTAGGAATCTATAGGACCTGCTGATAGGGTTTTTTTTTAGTAATGTGCAAGCAACTGACTCCGATTCTTGATTCCCATTTATGTGAACAGGGCCGGAAATGAATAACCGGGCGTGGATTTCCTGCATGGAAAGTTTGTGATTTCCATTCAGGCCTCCAGGAAGTTAAAACTAAATCCTGAATTCAGATCCTTCATTCAAAAGTCTGCAGGGTTCACACAGGGAGTGGGTTGCTTGTGGCTTGGTGGGTTGTAAAAAGGGTGACAAACGAGCAATGCTGTCACATTAAACAACAATACTGCTAATTTGGATGTAGCATGTTATGTGATCATCAGAATTTATTTTTTACTAAGTTTAGGGTCTTGCAACCAGGAACTGGATTTGATTTCTCTTCTGTCCAATGTGAGTAGATCTCCTCTGATTTTCTTAATCATCCCTCTGGTCTTTTCCTGTTGTTTCTCTCCCTTTCTCCTGCAGGAGGCGCTGTCAGTTGTAAGTGAGGATCAGTCCATCTTTGACCCAGCCTTTGCCTCTTCGCACCTCTTGAAGACGGAGGTGTCTCCAGTGGATGATTATGGGAGCAAGGAAGACCCAGGGTTGGAAGACCCCTCGTGGTCCACCCAGATCAATAACCGAGGCCATATGGTGAAACAGGAGAACGAGCAAGTCAATTGCTCCAGCAGGTTAGCAGCTTTCGAGAGCAACAGTCCAGATTTTGGACTTATTTGTTTTTTTGTTTGTTTGTTTCATTAGACCTTAAAGACATGTAGACTTCAGTTCCCAGAATTCCCCAGCCAGATTTGCTGGCTGGGGAATTCCGGCAATTGAAGTCCACACATCTTCAAGCTGCCAAGGTTGAGAAACACTGCATTAAACCAATGTTGCTCAACCTCATAAACTTTAAACTGAGTGGATTTCAACTCCCAGAATTCCCCAGCCGGACATGCAGCCACGCAGCCATCCCCATACTGGCTGGGGAATTCTGGGAGCTGAAATCCACAAAGCTTAAAGTTGCTACGGTTGAGAAACATTGTGTTAGAAGTATATCCTGCCTATTTTGTAAAACTCAAATTGGCATCCATAATCACCTTCTGTTTTCCCCATGACATTCTCTCTGAGAGGTGGATGAGGCCGAGAGTGATTGCCCCAAAGACATTCAACCAGCTTCCGTGCCTAAGAGAGGACACAAACTCACAGTCTCTCAGGTTCTGGTCCAGTACCTTTTCCACCACCACACACTAGTTTTTGGATTGAACAAGAGGGACTGACCCAAAGAAGCTGATGTTGTCTTCAGGGCAAACAAGTTGGCAGCTTGATTGATCTAGAATGATCTAGAACGGGGGTAGGCAACCTTGGCTCTTTTATTGTGCTCCTAAAATGCATCTCCTGCTAAAGGTTGAGGCTTGGGAGAGTGGTTTTACAACAGTGTTTCTCAACCGTGGCAACTTTAAGATGTCCGGGCTTCAATGTCCGGAATTCTGGGAGTTGAAATCCACATATCTTAAAGTTACCAAGGTTGAGAAACACTCATCTATAGGATGAAAAGATGAGATTTACAAGAGAGTCCTTCCTTGGCTTCACAACATCTATGGCGCTTTGGGGGATGCTCCACAGCTGCTCACCTTGGCTATCCTGAGTGAGGACCTGCTAACCCCTTCTCCTATACCAGGAGTAGGGAACCTGGGCTCTTTTATGATTTGTGGACTTCAACTCCCAGAATTCCTGAGCCAGGAATAAAAGAGCCAAGGTTACCCACCCCTGTCCTATACCTACCTCTCTCTCTCTCCCCCACCCCAGCAGACAATCACCGGTGGAGTGCAGTGCCACCCGCAGGAACAAAGTGGAAGCTGCAGTCGACACATCCCAAGTGCCCTACCCAGCTGGATACCCCAACCAACGTAGTCCCCCCGTTTCTTCATCCAGAGAGGAAAAGGTCATCGTTCCAGCAGGTTGGTAGAAGACCGCTCCTCCACCATTTAAAGCTTCCATCTCATTCAGCCGGATCTCACGCCTTCCCCGTTGCACTCCAACTTAGCAGCTTCTAAGACCTGCTTTAGGTTCCCTGGCCACGGACTTCTTCGCGTCTTACTCCAATCTCTCCTCTCTCTCCCCCCCCCCCCAGATCCAGGTGTTTGGAGTTGCGATCATGTCCGTCAGTGGCTGGACTGGGCGGTGAAGGAGTATGGCCTTCCTGACATCGAAACCAGCCTCTTTCAGCACATAGATGGAAAGGAGCTCTGCAAACTTGGGAAGGAAGGGTTCCTACGCCTCACATCGCCGTACAACACCGAAATCTTGCTGTCCCACCTCACCTACCTGCGCCAGAGTAAGACCACGAACAAGCTCAGGATGGGAAAACTCCGCTCTTGGGAATCGGGGATGTGGTGCCAAGTTTCTTTACAAAGGGGTGTTGTCTCTGCTGGGCGGTGAGAATCTGAATCTCATGATTCGGAGAATTTATTAGATTTTTTTTTTTAATCCCACCTTTATTATTTTATACATAACTCAAGGTGGCGCACATACCTAATACGGTACTCCTTTCTCCTTCTGTTTTCCCCCACAACAACTTTGTCAGGTGGCATGAGCAGGGTGTGAGAGAATTCTTAGCCCAAATACACCCAGCCGGCTTTCATGGCTGAGCTGGGACTAGAACTCACCGTCTCCTGGTGATTGGCCTTTCAGTGCTGAGGCAGGACTAGAACTCACCATCTCCTGGTTTTTAGGTCAGCATCTTCACCACTGCACCAAACTGGCTCAGTTTGAATTCCATCATAAAACCCGTTTATCTCTGCAAGCAAAATACTGCTGGCCCTCCGTAATCCTGATTTATCATTATTTTTTTTTAAAACCTTGCATGCAGAATCCTAATGCCAAGGTTCAACCGTTCACTTTGTCACTGGACCTTTTGTCACTGGAAGATTTTGTATTTTTCTTAAAGGGGAGGGATATTGAAACCAAAGGGAGCTTTTCCCTTTCTCATCATTCCTTCTTGTTTTCCTTCCTTCTTCTGCCAGGCAGTCCCACTTTCACTTATCCATCTGCACCAGTTATTACCCAGCAGCCCCCTCCGCCTCCACCGAGGGCCCAAGTCAAAACTGGTAAGTTTGTAACAGAAACCTACAGACCCATTTCAAAGGGCGGAACAGTGAGGACAGAAGAGGAAGTGAAGCTAGCTTGGTAACAATTGCTTGCTTGCTGAGTAACAACTGAACCTGCAGTTTTTCACTCATTTTATTACTTTCGATTTGCAGCAAAAAAAATGCCCCATAGGGGACAATGGGTTCACTTAACAACCCCTGCAAAAGAGGTTGTAAAATCATGCTTCACAACCACAACAATCAGGCCTTTAACTCTGTTGTATCCCTCGTCTCCATCCAAATCAGCGTTTCTCCAACTTTGCAACTTAGCTGGGCAATTCTGGGAGTTGAAGTCCACACTTCTAAGAAATCCTGATCTAAATCAGTGGTGGTGAACCTATGGCACGGGTGCCAGAGGCGGCACTCAAAGCCCTCTCTGTGGGCATGCGCGCCATCGCCCCAGTCCTAGCCTTCAGCTGGGTTTTATAAAACCTTTTCGTTTTAGGCCTCTGCTGTCGTGTGCAAAAAAAAAAAAAGGTCCAATCAATCAGTCAATTTCAACTTCTCGCGGGGAAAAAAAAGATCTTGCAAAGTTGGAATTGATTGATTGAACTTTTTAGTCCCACCCAGTCTGCCGTTACCACTGCAGCCATGCCCACCCAATGGCCCATGCCCACCCAATGGGCTACACCCACCGAATGGGCCATGCCCACCCAGCACCCGATGATACATAAGTGGGTTTGGGGTTGCAGTTTGGGCACTCGGTCTCTAAAAGGTTTGCCATCACTGATCTAAATGGTCTTTTTTTATATATATACCCAATATGTCATCTGTGCTCTTCATTTGCTGTGTAGAGTCTGCATATGATGAAATCCGACGAAGCAGCTGGGGCAGCAGTGCGGTAAACACCACTCCCAAAGGTACAGTTCCTAATTTCACTCGTACACCTTGAATTATATCATCCTGTGGTTTGTTTAGGTTTGGTTTGGTAGTGTAATGTGCCAGGCTGACTAGCAGGGTTTGCAAGCCACATTCCAGGATTTCGCTATGCAGATCCAGACAATGATTGTTTGTTCCCTGAACCAAATCAAGGCTTAGCCTGTGTGAGCTAAGTTTGTGACTGGATTCACACCAGCTGGTAGACTGGGGAGACAGTGGAGTTAGGTAGCTTGTGTGGACCTAGTAATTGTACTGTGCATGTCTGGATATTAGGGAAGATAAAAATCAAATCATACTAAATTCTGGAGTTGTCTAAAGAAGTGTAATTGGTGCTCTTCAAGAGAGACAACAAAAAGTACCTTTTCCATACAGCACATAGTCAGGCGATAGAATTTAGATGGTTTTTCAAAGAGAATCTGCTAAAGTAGCTGTCAGTTAAAGCAGCTGTTTCTGTGACAAAAACTGTGATCGCGTATTTGATCCGATTACTGCACTAAGCTACATCCTTGATTTGCAGAATACTTTGATCCATAATCTAATTAAACAGTCCTGGTTTGTATAGCATGCTAAGATACAAATGAGCTAGTTAAGATTTACATTAATCAAAAGTAGTATGCATGTATGAATGTCAGCACGTGGTCTTTAAGTGACCTGATTAAATTATTGTGTGAACAGTCAGGAAGAGTAAGTCACTCTGTGTGTGTCATGTGATTGGTTTATAATCTGCTGTAGTGTTTCTCAACTTTGACAACGTTATCATCTGTGGACATCACATCTCAGAATTCCCCAGCCAGTAATGTCCTCACATGTTAAAGTTGTCAAGATTGAGAAACACTGGACTGATGCTATACAAACCAGGATTGCTTAATTAGATTAAAATATTCTGCAAATCAAGGATGTAGCTTAATTCAGTAATCAGTACAATCACACACACACACACACACCTGTGCCATTGGGATTCTACTTTCATTCCAGAATTGTAATTTGCAATTTCACGCTCAGTGCCCAGTTAATGAGGACCACGAATGCAATAATCTTAATGCATTCCTGTCCTGCACATGGATTTCTCTGGTTCCTCTGTAATGTACAGGTGGGTGGATTGAAGGGATCCTTGGTCTGATCCTGCTTGGCTTCCACCTAAGCAGTGGGATACCAGGACAACCTGGACCAGTGATGGCGAACTTTTAGAATCCGAGTGCCCAAACTGCAACCCAAAACCCACTTATGCATCGTCGGGTGCCGGATGGGTGTGGCCCATTGGGTGGGTGTGGCCCATTGGGTGGGCGTGGCTGTGGCGGTAACGGCAGACTGGGTGGGACTAAAAAGTTCAATCAATCAATTCCAACTTTGCAAGATCTTTTTTTTTTCCCCGCGAGAAGTTGAAATTGACTGATTGATTGAACCTTTTTTTTTTTTTTGCACACGGCGGCGGAGGCCTAAAGCGAAAAGGTTTTATAAAACCCAGCTGAAGGCCTAGGACTGGGGCAATGGTGCGCGTGCCCACAGAGAGGGCTCCGAGTGCCGCCTCTGACACCCGTGCCATAGGTTCGCCACCACTGACCTGGACTAAAGAAATGGCATCTTACCCGCCACTTAGCTCTTGTTTATTTTCATCTTCCACTTTGAAGGTTCCCCACCGCAGATCCAGACGGTGAGCCGGATCCCGGATTCTACACGCATTGCACCTGGTACGCCTAGATACCTCTGGTCCTGTGTCCTTCACCATCTTCTGCTTTTCTTTTTTTGTGTTTCACATCAGACTGCATTCCTTTGCCTTTACTAGTGGCACGATCCATAATGCTCAGCAAATATTTGTTTGTCTGGCCCTGCAGTAAACAGCTTTCTGTTTGTGCTTTTTTTTTTTCTATTTCAGGAGCAAATAAATTGCTTTGAAATTAGCTGCTAACCCAGAAGTATGGCAAGGGGAGTAAGGCACCCACTCCTTGAGTTAATCATATGTTTGGCCTGTATCATTTCATCTGGAGAAGGGAAAGTGTTAACTAATTTCCTGTAGTAGTCCCTCCACCTAGAAAGCAAGCATGGCAAGCTAGCACATAGAGTCAGATAAGACTTCAGTCATGTCAGTTGTCTGCTGGATTATAGCCTGAATCAGAGGGCTATCATAGCAACTAGGATAGGGCTAGGAGAGAGAATTTGTGAGCTCTTCCAAGTACGGGGAAGAGATCGGGAGGGGATCTTCCCGAGGCATCCAGTTCATTCAATTGCATCCAACTCTAGTTCCTCTTATTTCCTTCTTCTTCCCAGTAGATCCATACCAAGTCCTTGGGCCCACTAGCAGCCGCTTGGCAAACCCAGGTGAGCCATCCATCTTTTGTCTTGGGGGTGGAGCATTTAGCATCCAGCAGTCAGACTGGAGAAGAAATGTCTTCTCTCAGCCTGGAAAAGCAGTCAGTGGAATGGGCGACTTCACCCACTGATATTCATTGAGACAATGGCACTTTCAGGCTTGCAAGATTTTGTTAATGTAGCCTTAAAATAAAGTAGAATTAGCTCATCTGGTTATGCTTCCTGTCTGGTCTACTTGGGAGGCTGACAGTTGCCAACTAACACCCCAAGATCTCTCTTGCCTAGCAGAAGATGGGTTGAAGTGAGCCCGCTGGTCATCTCAGGAACAAGCGGAGTTGTTAAAAGAGTTGTTCTGTCTCCGACAGGGAGCGGTCAGATCCAGCTGTGGCAATTTCTCCTGGAGTTGCTCTCGGACAGCAACAATGCCAGCTGCATCACCTGGGAGGGGACCAACGGTGAGTTCAAGATGACGGATCCCGATGAAGTGGCGCGGCGATGGGGCGAGCGCAAGAGTAAGCCCAACATGAACTATGACAAGCTGAGCCGGGCGTTGCGCTACTACTATGACAAGAACATCATGACCAAGGTGCATGGCAAGCGCTACGCCTACAAGTTCGACTTCCAGGGCATCAACCAAGCCCAGCAGGGGCAGCCGGGTGAGCCAGCCCTTTACAAATACCACCACACGGAACTGCCTTACCTGCCCCCCTACCACCAGCAGAAGGTGGGCTTCGGCCTGGGCCATAGCACGCAGATGCCCGCCTCATCCTCAGGTTTTTTCGGCCCACCTGCCCCGTATTGGAATTCCACAGGGGGGAACCTCTATCAGAACCCCCCTGTGTCCAGGCAGGCTACCAACCATTTGGGCTCTTTCTTCTAACCTCCAGAAGGTCCTGGAGCTACCTGAACTTCTACCAGAAGGGTCTCATTAGACAAACATCCACCACACCCAGAAGCTGGGATACAGGGAGCATCATCTTGAACGTATTCGTGGCCGTCATGAATAAGGAGGGCGGGGGGAGCAGGACCACTCCCCACCAACAGCAGGCGCTCTTTTGCTGCTTGACCAAAACAGTTGCGTGATCATCTAATTCTATTCTACCCCTGGACTTAAACTGAGCTAGATGTTGTGCTATCCTCGCCTGAATTTTGCAGAGATAGCCGGGGTCTCAGAATTATAGGAGACATAGATGAGTTGCCTCAGCTTGCTTAATTTCCCCTCGCCCACCCCATCTAATATGATGGAAGCAGGAGTGGCGTGTTTCTTTGTTATATGATGTAGCTGCAAGGATGTGGACTTCAACTCCCAAAATCCCCACCCCCACCCCAGCATGCAAGGTTGACGTCATGTACGCTGGCTGGGGAATTCTGGGAGTTGAAGTCCACTCATCTTCAAGTTGCCAAGGTTGAGAAACACAACTTTAGCCATTGCTTTACAATCATTTCTAATCTTTTCAGAAGCAGAAATACTGCCATTTCCCCCCTGGTGCTGCTGTGAGCCATTAAAATACTTAAGTTGCAGTACTAGAAGGCTTTTGGGAGCTGCCAAAACCTGAAAAATAATTCTTCTGAATATAGTTTTGAGTTTTCTTTAGCCAGATTTATTGAAAGTTATTGAGATCGTAAGAATTCCAGGAACTTTTCCCAATTTGAAACCAATATATCCCTGTGTACTTTAGGGAGAGTTTCTGATATTTTTTTTAACCATCTATACCAGGGGTGTCAAACTCGCAACATCACGTGACGTGTCGTGACTTTTTTTCCCATTGCCGGCAATGGGGTGGGCACGGTTTTGGCATGATGCATCCAGCCCATGGGCCGGCAGTTTGACACCCCTGACCTATACTCTGGGGAGATGGTGGGTCTTTTAGTGATAATGCAGAAACTTGCAGATGTCTTCTGAATCTTTTTTAGTTTGGAAAGCAACTCCTACAAATTCAATTTCAGACGAGGACCAAATTCAGCAGAGTGGGTTTCTCCAATGAGAGCCTTCCAGGCGTGTGAATTTTAAGAGGCCCACAATTCCCAGTTAAAAGGTTTATTCTCTTGGAATTATGAGAATTGTTGGCTCAGACTGGCAAAGATTGAAGTTCTTGGGGAAAGAAAGAGGCAAAAAGTAACTCTATTTCTGTTTGCTCTTATAACTTGGAATTTCAGAACTTTTCACGTGACTCTGAACTCTTTTCCCTCATAATATAGATGGCTTAATGGAAGCACAATAAGATGATAAACTACTGAAGCTGTAGAGTGGACCGAACAGAAAAAACATTGTTTTAGATGTTCCTCCCTAGAAAGAACTATCCACAAATTCAAAACTAACAGTACTGTTACTGTACTAGCTTTCTGTTTGTAGGAATGCCTCATTCTTATTATTACACACACTGGAATCCACCACCTCCAGGCTGGAGTAGCATAGTACTCTATAATCCTATGGGTATCAATTCAAATGGTCAGGAGCGATGGTATTACAAGCTGTTTGTGTGTATATAGACTAAAGGATCTTGGTCCAATAGAACAGTGTTTCTCAACTTCTGCAACTTTAAGATGGGTGGACTTCAACTTCCAGAATCACCATCCCTAGCATGCTGGCTGGGAAATTCTGGGAGTTGAAGTCCACACATCTTAAGGATGCTGAGGTTGGGAAACTCTGCTGTAGAGCAAAGGGGGAAAGTTATCCCTCAAGTGCCAGTGTGTCCCTGTGTATCCCACTTCACTTAAAGCATGTCTAAAATTATTAAATGATGGATCTGAAAGGGGCCTTAGAAGCAATCTAGACAAACCCCATCCAGTGTAGAAATCTTGCACCTGCAGCTCTCATACCAGACATTCTCCCTCTTTGAGGACCTCTGAGAACTCGCTGCTGTCCAAGACAGATTGCTCTGCTACTAAATAGTTCTTATCAACGATGATGCTTCTCTTAAAAAACCCTTTTTTCCAGTGTTTAAAGAACTGTGTTTCTAGTTTTAAATGCTGAATTCACTTGCTGAAAGGTAGGACCGTTGTGGTGGAAGAAACAGCTCACTTTTTGCAACACTGATGTATGTGCACTCCTCTATGTGCATAAATCAGGATTTAAACAAAGTATTTATATCATTCCAAAGATATAGTGACCCCAGCCCAGGTAGAATGAATGGAGAGAGACCAGGGCGTGACTGTTCTGCAACAAATATTCCTTTACACAAATACTGTCAGTCCATTTTCAGTATCGGCAATGGGCACAGTAGCCAATAACTTTCAACATACCAAATAGAGGTAGTCCTCAACTCACAACCACAACTGAGCCCAAAATTTCTGTGGCTAAGCAAGGCAATTGTTAAGTGAGTTTTGCTCCTTTTTACAACCTTTCATGCCAGTGAATCACTGCAGTTGTTTAGATAATAACACAGTTGTTAAGTGAGTTTGGCTTCTCCATTTTTTGTTTGTCAGAAGGTCGCAAAAAGTGATCACATGATCCCGGGACACTGCAACCGTCATAAGTACATGGCAGTTGTCAAGTGTCCAAATTTTGATCACATGACCAAGGGGATGCTGCGGTAGTTGTAAGCGTGAAAAAAGATCATGTCACTTTTTTTTCAGCGGTTGTAATTTTGCTCATCAAACGAATGGTTGTAAATCAAGGACTGTCTGTGTATGGAACCTCATACACAAGGGCAGAGGTAGGCAACCTTGGCTCTTTTATGACTCGTGGACTTCAACTCCCAGAATTCCTGAGCTAAGGTTGTCTACCCCTGCACAAGGGGATAGTGCCTGTAGCCCACAAAACCACATCCGCAACAATTTAACTGTGTTTTGCAACACAGAGATGTACAGTACTGCACTTACTTTTGTGAATATTTTTCCCTCTCCAACGCAACCAACCCCCACTTCTCTGTTCTAAAACTCCCATCATTTTGTACTTGTCTACTGTGTATTAAAAGTTGTGCTGTGGTTTAACTGATGAAGCTCTGTGGATTTCATGGGCGAGTCACAGCAACCCATGGGTGATGGTGGGGGAAATACCCTTGAAGGAATGTGGGGAACGTGAACATCTGTGAGAGTGCAAGGACCAAAATGTACAACATCATCAAATGCTGCAAGTAATGGATTTGTGCCAGATGTTAGGACACAAATAGGGCACAGTGGACTTTTGTGATGCTGGACACATCATTTTGGCATCATTAAGGTTTGCTGCAGATGCTTCCAGTGAGGAACCTCATAATAGCACTTAGACTTATATACCGCTTCACAGTGCTTTACAGCCCTCTCTAAGCGGCTTACAGAGTCAGCCTCTTGCACCCCAATAATCTGGGTCCTCATTTTACCGACCTCAGAAGGATCGAAGCTGAGTCAACTTTGAACCGGTCAGAATCGAACTCCAGGCTGTGGGCAGAGTTTAGTCTGCCACATTGCATTCTAATCACTGTGTCACCATGGCCCAGTAATCTTTCAATTGTTGTGATAATGGAAAATAAACATAGCTCAGGACTGGCTCTTTGTGAGCTTGGCAATCTTACCTATGCGGATGTTAATCACTGAAGTTACTAAGAAAGTTAACGAAATGTCTATAAGGTAACTGCTAAGCAGAGAAAACACCAAAATCCCAACAATTTTCCAAGTATTTCCTTCTCTCATTGATCTTTATATGTTACACATTTGGTTGACCATAAAAAGAAGGCTTTGCAGGCCAAGGATAAGGCAGGTGTAGGTCAATAAGTTAAAAATAAAAAGTATCCATCCATTCTTGAGACTCTTTCAGATTTAATCCTCAAAACTATTTCCCTAAAGCAGTGTTTCTCAACCTTGACAATTTTAAGGCATGTGGACTTCTACTCCCAGAATTCCACAGCCAGCATTGCTGGCTGTGGAATTCTGGGAGTTGAAGTCCACATGCCTTAAAATTGTCAAGGTTGAGAAACACTGCCCTAAAGCCTTTAACCTAAACCAGTATTTCTCAATTTTGGGAACTTAAAAGATGTGTGGACTTCAACTCCCAGAATTCCCTAGCTTCAACTCGAGTTGAAGGCCAAGCATCTTAAAAGTTTCCACGGTTGAGAAGCCCTGGTTTTAAGGATATAATCCCAGTTGGCAGGAAGGCACTAAAGGTCATAGAAACCTCTACCCAAGGATTTGGGGAAGGCTTATATGATCTGGTTAGACATAATCTCAGTCCGTGTTTGCACTGTGTGGAAATACGAGAATTGTGGGCAATCTGTAGTCAAGAAAGCTGACTTGACCCAAATTTTCACAGCAAAGTATCTCCCAAGTCTGCTCCCAGATTGCTTGCTGAAAGAAGAGAGATACAACCTCTGTCAGCTGACATGTGGGGAAAACCACCTTATTTGGGGACATGTAGGCTAGGACTATAGCCTCTCTCACTATATCTGAACGTCTTCTGAAGCAGTTTCATATTTCTTTAAGAGCTAGTTAAGCCCAAAGGAAAACTTTGAGCTTTTTGCAATCTTTCAACCCCTTCCACCTCCTGCTCGCTTATTTGTTTGGTCAATGGAATTTCATCTGTCTGAACAGCTGCTGCCTGCCCCCATAAATCTCCTCTCCAATTAGAGTCAAAGCTCCAGCTTTTCCAAGCTTCTCCCATCTGCTTCCTGCTCTTTGGCTGTTTTTCCTGTTTGCTCAGCCCCAGGATAATATAAACACCTCCTCTAAGACACGCAGAGCACAAAGAGAAAGAACAATGCAGCAGCCACAGCTGGGGGGAGGCTGCTTCCCTTCTGATCCCCACCCTCTTACAAAGCTCCCCTTCTCACTGGGAACAACAAAGATTTTCGATTGTCCGCCATTTCTCTAATAGACGCAGACCAAATCGACAAGTCTGTATTCAACTGAACACTAATACATGCTTCCTGTCCCCAACCTGTGTCTCTCTAGGACGGCAGAGAAGGACTGCAGTGTTTTTTGGACTTGTTTCAATCAACAACCAATACTTTTTAACTATGAATGCCAAGCTAAGGATGTGCAGAGAGTCAATAGCACAGCTAATATACAACAGCTGGCCTACAGAACCTATGGAATTTTTTTAACATTCCCTGAGTACAATGCACGCTGTTCAGAGCGTACTCTATCCCTGCCACTTTTGTACAATTTACTAAGCTCCATACAGTTTGACTGATGGTGCATTAGCATGTTCGGTAAAACCAGCAATTGTGCTTTAGTGTGATATGTCAAATAGGTCCCGGTATGACTTTACCAGGAAAAATGGTCTTTGTGTATCCTGACCAAGTTGAATATTCCAAGGGTCTTCGTAAAACAATTCAGCGTGGCAGACAACATGACTCGCCAATATATTAATATATAACAATATGGAAAACATTCTATTACAGGGTAATCTGAGAATTCTGGAAGGGAGTCTGACTTTTAACAATATTTGGAATAGGCTCACGTTGGAATCTACCCAATTTCAAACAGAGCTCTGGGATGCTCCAGAAAATAATGTTTGACAAAAATTTCTAGAATCAGTATTAAAGTTGTGTTACGGTCATCTTTGGTCCAGCACACTGCTTCTTAGGGAAGGTGACCAGACTGCTCTGGAAAACCTACAAGCAGGACTCCAAAGGCCCCCAAACTCTTTCCCTTGACTTCCCCAACAATTGACTCTCTCTGGATTTACAAAATTTATAAGCGGACTGTTTACACCTCCACCGCTCTGAAAAACGAAGTAGCCACAAGACGACGAGATGCTTTAGGAAAGGGAAAGATAACAAGGAGAGTTAAATATAGTAAAAAAAAAAAGCATAAATTTATTGACTCAGCACAAAAGCTATTTCCCCTCAAAATACACCCAGAAGACTCTACAAATTGTGGTTCCTTACTATCAAACCAGTTAGTCTGGGGAACAGGGCGCGAGCACACAATGCCTCCATGCACATGAGCCTCAGGCCGGGGGGGGGGGGGGGGGGGGAGACTGTGCTATCCCAAACTCCTCTCCACTGCCCAAGTTCTCAAAATATGCATCTTCTCCAGCAGGCCCAGAGCTCAGTTCCTCAGCTGATTGTGAAGGCTGAAGCACAGCCCGGGCGATCGCTGTCCCATTACCTGAGGCCTAGCTTTTTCTTCTCTTTCTGTTTTTTGCGCACAATGTCGATATTGCGATCCTTCCACATGCTCTTGCGCAGTTTAATGGGCCGGCTGCCCACATATTTTCCTGCCACAAAAGAACAAGCAATGGTGTGAACCTGGGGAAGTTTAACAAGACGCCCGTCTGCTGAAGCCGAGCATTAAGCCAGGCTCCTGTCATTTTGGGATGGAAGTAACACTAATCTCTAAGGAGTGAAGTCCACAATTACCTGGAGGGTATCGAGATGAAGCTGGCAAATGTAATTTATCTGCACAACTAGGTTAGCTGGGTTCACGTAGTACACCCAAGCGATCATCTGGTTTATTTCAGTTGGACTTATCTGTCATATTATCTTCGCTATTGTGGTGGTGAAACCATAATTAATGGGTTTAGGGATCACTCCGGCTGTAGTGGTGCCTTCCATCAGCCAGAGTTAAACAAGCCATATTTTATTCTTATATAGGGACGTCATTAAAGCACAACTGCAATGTGGAAATTGACTCAAATTCCCTAAAATGGAACAATTTAGTACAAACTTTTTTTTAAAGCAGGCTTTTTATGGAGCTGTACCCTAGATCAGGGCTTTTCAACCTTTTCACCCATTGTACCAGTTTTAGGATATGGCAACATCCGAGTACCACCAGTTACCTAGCAAGGGGTCAAAAACTTGATGACAAAAAAAAAAAGTGATGAAATACAGGTAGTCCTTTGACTTACAAAGGTTTGCTTAGTGACTGTTCGAAGTTACAATGGCACTGAAAAAAGTGCCCCCCAAGCCACAGCTGAGCAAGACACCTGCCTGCCCACCCGGCTGCACTCTTTCTCCTGTCCGAGGTTTTCATTGTTGTGAGCATTTCTGTTGAGAATTGGCAGCGGGGGTGAGGTGGGGGGTGTTTGGTTTTTATTCCCCCCGTCTGCTGGGTGGTTGCAGCAGGTTTTGGTCACTTCACATGTCCCTGGGACACTGTGACCGTCATAAATACGAATCAGTTGACAAGCATCTGAATGTAAATCACAAGACCCTGGAGATGCTGCAACATTCCAGCTGATTGGCGCTTCTGGGCTCAGCAGAAGCGCCAGGAACAGCGCAGAGCTCCAGCTGGAGCCTGGCGCTGATCCTGGCATTTCCGCTGAGCCCTGACAGCCCTGCAGCTCCAGCCATCTCTCGCTCAGGCTTGTGCGGTGCTGCCACCGGTTCAGCTCATTCCCCTCCTCCACTACCACTTTTCTAGGATGGTCGCGTACCACCTGCCAGGTGCCAATGTACCACAGGTGGTACCCGTACCACTGGTTGAAAAGCCCTGCCCTAGATCAGGGGTCTTCAACCGTGGCAACTTTAAGAATTCTGGGAGTTGAAGTCCACAAGTCTTAAAGATGCCAAGGTTGAGGACCCTTGCCCTAGATTGGAAGTTAAGTCGTGGCTGAACTTAGTAGCCAGTTAGTAGATGTTTCCGTTTTCTTGGCCTTCCTTGAAAGACAGAACATTTCCATCACCGGTTCCTTCGTTTTTAGCTGGGAGTTGAATCTGGTTCTCCACTTCCATGGGACTTGAGCAGGACGGCCTCTTGGAATGGAATCGACCCCTCCCCATCCCCAAAGGGCGGCCTCACACTCACCATTCATTTCCCGCATAGCACGGACATAGTCATTGGGGTCTTTGAAGCTGACAAAGCCATAGCCTTTGGTTTTGCCTGTGCGCTTGTCCCGGATGACTTTGGCCTTTAGGAAAGATGGGTAGCGGCTGAAGGCACGGGCCAGGATGTCATCGTTCACCTCGTTGCCCAAGTCTCCACAGAAAATCCGGAAGTCATCTAGGAAGGAAGGATGGATAATGCAGGGCCTCAAGACAACAGAAAAACCTTCAAGGTGCATACACAAAAGGTGACATGAATCAGAATTTCGAGAAATTCCTTTTTATAGATTTTCATGGTTCTTGCCTCTCCAGTCCCTCTCTCTCAGCCCTAGAAGCAGGCAATAGCAGACCACTTCCGAAAACCTCGGCAAGAAAATTGCAAGGAGTTGTCAACACTGACTCAGTGGCACCAAAACAACAGACAAACAAAATCTCGAAGAGCATGGTTCATTCAAGACTCACACATTCTGATTTGGTTGGATACACAGGCTAGGTTATGCCGGGAGACTCTGAAGAGGTTTACAAACCCATGTATTTGACAAACACCAATCAATGAAGGGCCAATGTTGATGCCAATGTTAGGCTTGAGGAAAAATCATGGCCTCCACACCCACCCTTACCTTCCACTGTCTACCCACTGGCCCGCTCTAGTTGGATGCTCACCAGGGTCCCATTCAAGAAGGCTGGGGTCCTCCCAGCAGGTCCCAGCAGCAGTACGAATGCAACGCTTCAACTTCTCCTGCTTTGTCTTCTTCTTGTCTTCAGGGGTGCTCTCCATGACCGGCTAGGAGGCAAAGAGGAGCGTATCAAATACTTAAACCTATGTCGAAGAACACATCTGAAATTGAAGACTGTCCTTGGCCCAGCAGGCTAGAGAGTAAACAACACATGTAAATCCCACTGCTCTTTTTCTCACAAACTCCTACCTATTCATTACAATTCCTGACCCCGAGGCCCATTCACACAATACAGTGAAAATTAGTTAATCTAAGGATTTAGCTTCTGGGGAATGAAATCAGTTGGCATTTCTCTAGCTAGTCTAAGAACAGGAAGCCTAAAGCTGGAAGGGCGCTTCTCATGATCAGCAAGGCCCGTGTGTGCTCACACACCGCTCGTTCCTGCAGCGTATTAATACGCACATATGCTGGTGGCCTTTGAGTTTGATCACTTGGGCTCCCCAAGATTTTAGACTTTGGCTTTTTATACCAATGAGGGTCAGTACTTTTCTTTTTATTTACATTTATTTTAAAATCTTCAAACAGTAAAAGAAAAAAAACCAAAACAAAGATTTTTTAAAAAGAGAAGGACTAAAGTTAAGAAATATTACCCAGCTGGCTTTCACGCCTGACGGGGACTAGATTTCACTGTCTGCTGATGATTGGTCCAAAATTACCCAGCCGGCTTTCATGCCTGAGGCGGGACTAGAACTCCCTGTCTCCTGATGATTGGCCCAAAATTACCCAGCCGGCTTTCATGCCTGAGGCGGGACTAGAACTCCCTGTCTCCTGATGATTGGCCCAAAATTACCTAGCCGGCTTTCACGCCTGAGGCGGGACTAGAATTCACTGTCTGCTGATGATTGGTCCAAAATTACCCAGCCGGCTTTCATGCCTGAGGCGGGACTAGAACTCCCTGTCTCCTGATGATTGGTCCAAAATTACCCAGCTGGCTTTCATGCCTGAGGCGGGACTAGAACTCACTGTCTCCTGATGATTGGCCCAAAGTTACCCAGCCGGCTTTCACGCCGAACTCTCCTGGTTTCTAGTCTAGCTCCTTAACCACAACACCAAACTGGCTCAGTCCGAGAGGTTGTGTGAAGAAGGTCTATATCTCCTCCCCCTCCCTGCTCCCTCCATCCCAGAAATGCTTAGCTTTCAACAGCTTTGAATAGAAACATACAAATAAGACAACTGCTTTCAAGAGGAAGTTACTCACTGCCTCTGCAAAGAAATGACCACTGCTTATTACCTCTACGGGAACAAATCCAGCATCGGGTCCTCGGGGGCGCTTCCCTCGTGTAGGCGCCAGGTCATGCCCACGTAGCGACGGTAGCCGAGATTCCACGACCGGGGGCAGGTCTGTTTCTGGCATACTTGGGCCTATCACTGGCTCCTCGGTCCCAGCTGCCTCTTTCTCCTCCACCACAGGTGGCGGAGGCTCTCGATGTTCCTCCTGCAGAAGGCAGACGGAAGAGGTCAGTGATGCTCAGGAGCAGCACTGATGGGAGACCACCTTTTCCCATGATCCTCTAAGGCAGGGCTTTTCAACCTTTTCACCCATTGTACCACTTTTAGGATATGGCCGTATCCGAGTACCACCAGTCGCCTAACAAGGGGTCAAAAACTTGATGACAAAAAAAAGAGAAAAAAAGTGATGAAGTACAGGTAGTCCTCGACTTACAAATGTTTGCTTAGTGACTGTTCGAAGTTACAATGGCACTGAAAAAAGTGCCCCCCAAGGCATAGCCGAGCAAGACACCTGCCTGCCCACCTGGCCGCGCTCTTCCTCCTGTCCGAGGTTTTCATTGTTGTGAGCATTTCTGTTGAGTATTGGCAGCGGGGGTGGAGTGGGGAGTGTTTGGTTTTTATTTCCCCCGTCTGCTGGGTGGTTGCAGCAGGTTTTGGTCACTTCACATGACCCTGGGACACTGTGACTGTCATAAATATGAATCAGTTGCCAAGCATCTGTATGTAAATCACAAAACTCTGGAGATGCTGCAACATTCCAGCTGATTGGTGCTTCTTCTGGACTCAGCAGAAGCACCAGAATGAGCGCTGAGCTCCAGCTGGAGCCTGGCGCTGATCCTGGCGCTTCCACTGAGCCCTGACAGCCCCGAAGAAGCGCCGATCAGCTGGAAAGTGGCACTGATCCTGGCGCTTCCGCTGAGCCCTGACAGCCCTGCAGCTCCAGCCATCTCTCGCTCAGGCTTGTGCGGTACTGCCACCGATTCAGCTCATTCCCCTCCCCCGCTACCACTTTTCTAGGATGGTCATGTTCCACCTGCCAGGTGCCAATGTACCACAGGTGGTACCCGTTCCACTGGTTGAAAAGCCCTGCTCTAAGGAAGCTCAGCGGAGTGGTTCCAAGTTGTTTCCCTCCTGGGAGATGAAGAAGAAGTTGGAAAAGAGAACGGACACAAGTACCAGACTCACTAACCTCTTGTTTTTTCACTGGTGGAGAAGAATACACCGTAGGAGCTGCCTGGATGACTGTGGGGTTGACTTTTGGAGGGGCCACCACCGGCCGAGGAACAGGCACCAGTGGAGCCAAAGGGCCAACAGGCATTCCTGGCCCCACCTGGTGAAGAAGGAGCAGAACACAGACATAATATGCTTCATAAACTCTTGCTTTAAAAATGGTTTACTCCCTTTTGATGTGTGCCATTGTGCCCACAGTAAAAACAAACAAACAAACGACAATAAAGGTTATCTTATCTTATCTTAACCAAAAAGAAAAACAAGTATAACGAGACACAGTATAAAGAGAAAAAACATGAAGATAATTAAACCGTAGAAGAAATATTCTTTAATAAAAAAATACATTTAAGGAGATAAAAGTTAAAAATCCAATGCTATTCAATATCTTAAACAGCAGACTAAATCTTGAGCATGCGGGATTATACTCAGATTTCTTAATGTCAGTAAAAAAAACCTTTTGTCTTATCTACATGTGAATTGTTTTTTTTTACTGACATTAAGAAATCTGAGTATAATCCCGTATAATACTCAGATTTCTTAATGTCAGTAAAAAAATATTCACATGTAGATAATATAAAAGTTATGCTCTTGTGAGGTGGGCAGCCATAATGAGATACACCAGTGAATACATCTGCAGATCCTTTACAGAAGAACAATGTCAATCTGTGAGTATCAACAGAGATTAAAAAGAGGACTGCTGTTCTACACCTGCACATCTATTGCTCTTTTAAATTTATACTGACAAATCCTTCTTCATATAATTCTAAACCCACCTTTTAACTGAACTCAAAACTTGGCATAGCTCATGCTACCCTCCCAGCTCTAAAAGAGAAAGGTACTTACTGGGGGACCCGGACCCGGTCGCATTGGCCCTATGCTCCCAAGGGGTGGGCCAGGTGCTCTCTGCATTGGTGGGCCCATCAGCATCGGGGGCCCTTGAGGGCCTGGCATTGGGGGCCCAACCATGGGCTGGTGATGCGGTGGGCGCATCGGCATGGGCCGAGGGCCACCTTAAAAAAAAAAGACAGTGGTAGAAAAAGACAGGCTCTCGCCATCCACGGGGCTTAAAAAGTAAAAGGAAAGCTTACCTGCCCGCTGCAAGACATGAGGCACAAAGGTTGGTCGAAGAATGGGGGGACGTTGTGGGGGAACAGCTGGAAGGAAAAAGATGCTTTGAAAACTGAAGCAAATGGTTTCTATTTTACAAGCAATTTTCTTAGCCTCCTGGAGGAGTGGAAAACTCAACTCCTCCTGCAGTTCGCTGAGATTGTATATTGGGAACACAGAACAGAGTTGCCCAGTTCTGACGCCTACTTGGCTCCTAGGTGAGGTGCAGAGGAGGAAGAATGGGGCCTGTCGTTCCTCCATCATTTCCTTGCAGTCATTTCCATCTTGCTTTTTGTAACCAAGTCACCAAAGATCAAAAATTGATGTAGAATGCATGTACAAGAGAACTGCCGGGCAGGTTAGAAGGAAGGTTAAATTCCTGGAGTAGAAAATAGTGTACTGCCCTACGCAGTTCACCTTATGTTGTCATTTATGGCACTAAAGAGATGCTTTTTTGCATACCCTCAAATCTGCTCAATGGCTCAATTTGTAATGCTGTTTATTACCTTAAAACCCCTACATGGTTCTTCCCCAAAACAGGTTTTTGCCAATATGCTGGAGTACAATAATCGGATTCCCCAGCTCACATAATCCAAATGCCTGAGATTATGGGAACTCTAGTCCAATAGACCTATAACTACTCAAGGAAAACTATTATAAATGATTTGGGACCAAGATGCTTAAAAGAGCTCCATCCTTCCAACTATTAGATCAGTTGAAGAGAGGCCTATTAGACATGTTCCATGTGAGTGGCAACTGTTGAGAATATAAGTATCTCTGCTTCATTTCAAACACACTATTTCTGCCTTTAACCTGACCCATATTTTTGAACAAGATGAAATCTATTTGTTTCAACAGCTTTATAGCACAGGGTATTCTTGAAGATTATTGTTTTCAGCTCTTAGTTTGAATTATCCATTTTTTCTCCTCTTGTTGTTTTCTTAAATCAACATTTTGGAAACAATATTCTAAGAATTAAAATCATAATTTCTCAAGTACAATAAACTAAACTGCTTAAACGGGAGGGAGGCACCTCTATTCTTTCAGAAATAAATATCTTTCTCACTTAAAGCCACTGGTAAAGTTAATGTGCAGACAGGAAGATGATAGTTCAGCCAAGCCAGTGGTGGGATTCAGCCGGTTCGCACCACTTCGGCAGAACCGGTAGCTAATTTTTTGTTGCCCAGGCCCAGAATGGACTTCTGGAAGCGGCATCCACACAGAGAACTGGTTGTTCCCATATTTGAATCCCACCACTGAGCCAAACGCTTTGGAACGGACCCTACCTGGGCCTACAAATGGCACTGGAGGAGCCACAATAGGAGCAACTACTGTGGCAGCTGCTGCTGCTCGGGCGTCCAAGCTCTGCTGGACCTGGAGGGCATGAAGATAACAAAATGAAAGACCACTACATGGTAGCAAAATAAGATGAATAGTCATGTACAAAAATTTACAACATCAAAGTCAATCTAGTACTGATTTTAAATATTTCACTGAAAACATTCTAGCCCCCTGCATTACAAAGAATATAATTAAACAAACTGCTCACTTGTTGATAAGTGTTAGTAGCAATGATGGGTCGGATGACAGGAACAGGGGGCACTGCAGATACTGCTGGTACTGCTAGAGCAACTGGTACAGCTTCTATCACAGAGGCAACAGGAGGCAGAGAGACAGGAGCTCCAAGCACTTCCTGCTCAAACCTGGAAGTAATTATCAGTAGTCATATTACATTTTTGAATACTGAAGGATACAAAAAGCAAAATTAAATTCCCACTGAACTATGAAATTCAATGAATGGTCCAATCACTATCATTGGAAGGACAATATTAATATCACATTTAAAAAAAAAGCTATTTACACATTCCAGGTGGTTAATAAGTTTTGAAAATTAAATCATTAGTGGAAAGATAGACTATGAACAAAACGAAAACAGGCAATTCTTAAAGCTGCGAGTTATCAACAGCAGCAAAAACAACTCTGATACTTTTCTCCCACATTGATGTATAATATCTTGCAATAAAGAAAGTCTGGGATAATTCACAATTTCTATGTACAAATATGTTAAAATCCATTCCGTTTTAACTCTATGAATTCCCCCCCCCCAAAAAAAACTCTTAATTAAAACATCTCAGCATTTTAATAGAAAACAAAGCAGGTCTGAAAACTGTCAGCTATCACAGAAACCACAAACTGAGAGAGAGAGATACACAAACACACACCCCAGGTGTGTATGTCCGATATATAGATATAATTCTGAATATATATAGTGAGAGACAAAATGTCAGACAGAAAAACAGAGATTTGGAGCCTTTATCTAAACTGGGAAATACTAGGGATAAGTCCTCAGACAGCTTATCCAAGCTGTTGTAGATTCCCAACTCCGTTTCTTGGGAGGCTCATCTATCTTTTCTCCAAGTTTCCTACAGGCAAAAGAAATCTTCAGTTTTTCACTGTTCCCCCAAGTAAAAGAGCACGGTGAAAAAATGGGACTAAAATTAAATATAAAAAAGACCAAACTAATGACAACAGGTAGAACAACCAGGCTTAGAATTGGCAGCAAAGATACTTAAGTGGTGGAGACCTTCTGCCTTTTAACATCAACAATCAACAGCAAAGGAACAAGCAGTCAAGAAACACGGCGGAGACTAGCACTTGGTAGAACTATAAAAGCCCCGGAAAAGATATCCAGATGCTGCGATGCGTCTCTACCTACAAATATCAGATTAGAATCATACAAGCCACGGTATTCCCCGTGACACCCTAAGAAAGCAGGATAGGAAAAGTCTTGACCTTGGACAACCAAAAAAGGAAACCAGTGGATCTCTATGGAGATTCTCGGTCATCCAGGTCATGGTTGTCTCAAAGGTGCTTTCTCAAGAGGCAACTGGACCTGGTTTTTCTTTGAAGACGTTTCACTTCTCATCCAAGAAGCTTCGTCAGCTAAATGGATCATCAAACAAATCGACCCAAGCTCAAATTATCCTCCTTTGGACACATGATGCAAAGACCTTGGAAAAGGCTCTAACGCTCACAGTATCATCTTAGGTCCATTTTTATTTATTAGTATGTCTAAATAATGTTCACCCATGCAACATGGCTGTATTATTTTTATCCTTCTCATACGTTCCAATGCCTTCTCTTATTGGTATGATCATTATTATTACTTTGATATTATGATTACTTTGTTTTGCATGTACACTGAGGGCTTATGCACCGGAGACAAATTCCTTGTGTGCCTATCACACTTGGCCATTGAAGTATTGTAATTTACCGACCGACCGCTATCGGCCCGACATTTGGGGCTACAGATCCCGTAAGCCCGGGAAACGCGTCTCAGAATTGGGGATTATAGGAGCGCCCGTGTACGAAGCCACCCGAAAGGTCCAGCTCAAGTCAAAGGAGGTTCTGCATAAACCACCGGAATACACCGAGCTCCTCTGAGGCCAACTCTCCTCTACTCACAAGGCCATCTCGGCTTCCATTTCCTTCAGTCTCTCCTCGCCGCTTTTCGCGCCTCCCCCCGCCGCCGCCACGGCTCCGGGCCCAGGAGCCCCTCCGGGCACCCCAGGGGGAGCTCCTGGCGGCGGGGGCGGCGGCATGGCAGGAGCCGCCATGGCTCGAGTTCTTCAGTCCGGCCCGGTCCCTCTAGCAGCGTCCGAGGCCGACTTTCCTCTTCTTTCCGGCGCACAGTTAAGTGGTCAGTAAAACTTCCGGGGCTTCTTTCGCTTTCTAGCGGAAGGCCGAGCAAGCCTTTCCTAGAGCATACTTCCGGTTCGAAAAAGAAAGGCTCTCCTACTCTATGAGCTGGGTGGTCTCTTGTCGCCTGAATGCTCCCGCGCTTGGCTTGAAGGAAGCCCGGCGTCGTTTTACAGATCCGCGTTTGCGGTCAACGCGCAGAAAAATGGTTAACTATCTTGCATCTCCTGGCATCCTTTCCTTTTTGTTTGCATCAAGACTCCTTTGCCTGCAAAATCGATCCAACAAGATTGCCATCCCTGCAGAGGGGTGATTCCCGCCACAGCCAAATGATTGCAAGAGAAATCCGTTTTTATACTAGGAAAACCGGTGAATTACCAATAGGTTACTGTAATAATCATAATAGTAATAATAATAAAGTTGGAAGGGACCTTGGAGGTCATCTAGTCCAACCTCCTGCTCAGGCAGGAAACCCTATACCATTTCAAAGAGGAAAAATAACAGCTCTCAAAAGAAACCAGCAAGGCTGCATAAAGAACTCTCTGATAAATTGAAAGATAAAAAGGACAAGTATAGAAAGTGGGAAGAGGGACACATAACTATGTCAGAATATCAGCAAATAGCCTGAGCCTGCAAAGACCAAGCGAGGAAAGCTAAGGCTCAAAATGAACTAAGGCTTGCGACCAAATTCAAAAATAACAAAAAAAAAAAAAGCTGCTTTCAACATGTAAAAAACAAGAAAAAAAGTGAAGGAAACGATTGGTCCATTAGTGGGTGAAAGTGGTAAGAAGGTGACTAGCAATAGGGAGAAAGCAGAACTATTTAACTCGATTTTTGCATCTGTCTTTACACAAAGGGAAAAAACAGACCAACCTATCAAAAATAGTGCCATAAAAAACAACATAGAAATACAAGTTAAGATAGGCAAGAAAATGGTAAGTGAACACCTGTCCAGCCTAGATGAGTTCAAATCACCAGGACCAGATGGATTACACCCCAAGATTCTCAAGGAACTGGCAGATGTGATCTCAGAACCACTGAACTATATTTTTCCAAGATCCTGGAGCATTGGGGAACTACCAGAGGACTGGAAAAGAGCTGATGTAGTTCCCATCTTCAAAAAAGGAAAAAAAAAGGATCCAGGAAATTACAGACCTATCAGCCTGACCTCAATACCTGGGAAGATTCTGGCAAAGGGAATCAAACAACGAATTAGCGAACACCTACAGGCAAACAAAGTCATTACTCAAAGCCAACACGGGTTTGTCAAAAACAGATCTTGCCAGACAAATCTTATTGCATTCTTTGACCAAGTGACAACATTAGTGGACCAGAGGATATAATTTACTTGGACTTCAGTAA